GAAGTCACAGCTGCAATGGCTTGGGCATGTGTTGCGAATGCCTCCAGAAAGGAAGGCTAAGCAACTGTTCTTTGCAAATCTGACGGGCAGAAGGCCCAGGGGACGTTCAAGATTAACCTGGTGCAAACATATGGAAGGAGTCTGTTCGAGATTCCATTTGTCTTTTGCCGAAGCTCAGACTCTGGCACAGGATCGAGAACGTTGGAAGCTGTGTCTGACGTGTCTGCCTCCGCGATCCGGAAATAGAAACGGCGATGGAGGCTGAAGATGAAGATGTAAAGCAGTTGAGAAATATTGGTCAAAAATTAATGTATAAAATTTTGACCGAGAATTTTAAGCAAAATACTTGAAAATGTGATACAGAAAACATGGTATCGGAAAGCGGAAGATTCACCACCACACGCGATTTGGCTTTCTTCTGGCCGCAGCACCATAGATCAGACCTTTGCTCTCCACAAAGTCTGAGAATAAACGAAAATTTCTCCTGCTTCATGGACCTGCAAAAGGCTTACGACAAGCTAACCGGTAGAAGTTAAGGTGAATGATGCTAGAGGTGAGATAGACGAGTTGCTACTTTCTGCACTCAAACGCTTAAACGCATGCTGAGAGGTCTGGATCAGGAATGACAAATAAGCCATGCTTTGAAGGTGCATATTTGTCCGATTTAATTTCTGTTGATCCTGAAATTGACTACTGGTTGGCGGCCCTCTGTAACGCATTTTAAAATAGCTTTACTCCAGGCATGTAAACGTGAATAAAAGAAAGCTAAAAATGGGATACTTTACTCTTTCCGTTTTCCATCACTCTTGATTCGACACGTTCGGTTTTTGGATGTATTCAGTTCATAAACTGTTTGATCAACCATTAGTCGGTGTTACGATGTGTGTGTCCGTGGCGTTCGTCAAGCGTGGACGCTCCCTCTTGTTGGAAGTCTTCACCCGGTTAGGTTGTAGTTGATAGATGAATAAATAGGCTGCCTTAATGCTTATAAAGCTGCGCGCATCATTTTGTGACCATGCGGATGACGTTCAATTTAGATGTACGTTATACAGACACGTTTTGGAATCCAGCCGAAGTGTGACGTCTTACTTTTGGGCAGAGACGGTACTCTCCACTTTGTCGACAGCGCGGGTATATTCTTTGCGAATTTTTGTTCGGTGTTAACATCTCTGTTTAATGTTTTAATATTTTTGTTTTTAAATGGATGTACTGAACATCGGAACTGAGTAACATGTTCGTAGTTCACTTATAAAATCCATAGCCGGACTAAATGCTATTGAATTAAGGCAGTAGTCAGTAACACACGTGAAATTAAAATTTTTATTCTGCACGATGCTTTCAGAATGCTGTGACGCTTCCAGCTGAACGTTTTCAGCTGAGAAGGTTTCCTTTGTCATCATGGCAATAGTCTGTTTTGTGATTGTGTCATTTGTTGATATGATTTGACGAAAATTGTAGCAAATTTGCGTGCCCGTAGTTATTGCCATGAAATAAATCCAAGCTAACGTCTTTATTACTGACGCTTTTCACTACCACACCCGTTTTGCCGCGATGATGCTAGGACGTTGTAGTGAAACGTGTTGGCAACGAGACTTTACCGTGTTTGCTTTGCTTAATGTCCTCAACTATGAAAGCGCAATTTCGCTACTTTTGCTCCATTGACTTCTCCGTGATGTTAGTTTTAATTAATTACCAGAACCAGACGTATAACTTTGCATCGATCAGGTCAAATGCCGGTTGTTAATGTTATATAACTGTGTTTTCACTGCTTGCGGATAACCGATGCCTATCTGATCGAACTGTTGCATTGCTATTAAATGTTTTTTGTCGCTAACTATGGAATCAGAAGATATACCGACTTTTCTCTAATTGAATCCGAGTTTAATGACTTATTTGCCGTTAATCATGTTATAGAGCGTTGTCGAATTGTCGGCCTAGGGAGAGTCGAGGATAAACTAGTAGAACTCCTCCAAACGGGCAGCTTTTAACAGAAGCAGTGTGTCAGCGTATGTGAAAGTAAATTAATTCCAATCTTTCGGCCTCAGAGCAGAGGTTTTCTAAAATAATGGAAGAAAAATTTCATTTACTCAGCAAGCCGTTTCTGTTAAACGTTATGCGTAATATTTGGTAGTGTGGTATTTATAATGCGGTATTTAATATGTCTAGTGTGGTACTTATAATGCGAGTTTCTAAAGTTTCTTCACGGTGTAAAATCAGATGAACTGAGGTTCTGAAGCCTCCATTTTATTTTCAGTCGTACTGATCAGCTACTAATGCGTAGTTCGTTTTTTAATCATATGCTCAGATTCTTGAACATGGTAACCTATTTTTCGTTTTTTAAAGGAAACAAACACTGGAGGCGTTACGAAGCACTAAGCAGCGTGCTGTCGTACGAGATGTTCGATTTACCGTTGTCCGAGTCGCAGGCGAATATCGAAAAGGAGTTCTCGGGCAACAACAGTTAGCATTAGCACTAGCCGTTTGAACCGGCCTTGCGTTGCGCATCAATATGGAATTTTTTACCACGCAGGGATGCTGCTGAAGATGTTCGTGCGGCGAATCAGCAGTCACCTTCAGCAGTTGAAAAGCGCCGTCTACCGTTCACTGAACGAACTGCTGAATATTGTCGGCTTGTTCGGCATCTACGACTGGTTACCGTTGCACCACGCGGACAAGTATCGGAAGCCGCTGGAACGCGATCAGTTCAGCCTTCACAAAATGATTGTCGTCGCCACCGAATTCGGCAATGTACGTATGCGCTGTGGTGCTGTTTGTTATTATTGTAAAAGGCGCGACTATTAATGCGTATAATAAGGTCATCTGCCGCAGTGGGAGAGTGTGAAAACCAGGCATTCTATTGTTCCGCTATGCAGGAATAGGAGTCATTAATGAGTAGAAATTTATAACAATACGTTAACGACCAAAAACTAGTAATGTACTAAACTTCATGAGGATTTTACTTGTCCCACTAATCAAGCGTAGCACGGTGTCAAATAAATGTCCGGGTTTCGATTGCGCCTGATAAGTTTCTTTCTGTCACATGCAAATTTTGTGTTACGCTGAACGTACATGAAAAATACTCATTTTTAGGGACATGTAGCATACTGTATGTGATTAACGTTTGCGATCACCTCGCATATTTTGATCTACTTTGCAGATATTTGGAATCGACAGCCAAGACGGCAGGGTTGTTTGGCATGTTTACCAACCACGACTCTCTCCGATTATGATCAACGACAAACGGTCGCTGCCTATATTCGTCCAGCGCAGCACGTCGCACTATCGTTACTCAGCTCAGTGCGCGGTGCTCGGCGAAAACCCGGTACTTGTTTTGACTTGTTACTGTCTGTGCATCATCAACCATAAACGACTGTAAAATACTACTTGAGCTGCTTTAGGTGGATCGT